TTATAGATTGGATGTGGGAGGCAGTGTGACTAATAATTACTCAAATTTCTCCCCTTAAGTTCTTAGAGCTAATTGCTATGTTTGAATTTTTACCAATTCAATCAAGATTTCACATTGAAAAGAGAAATAGTTCAAGGAATTGTGTCCTGTTCAACTCTTCCCTTAACTCTTGCTTTTATTTTTTCAAAGGAAAGTAAAACCTTGGCAGAGTTCAGGACTGTTTCACTTACTTCAGCTATTGATATGATGCATTTCTATTATATCTACACAGAGAATGAAATCAGCCTAACACACAGAAAAGTCAGAGCATATTTTCTCAATATTTTCAACATTAGGGTAGAGCTCAATTAGAAGTGAGGTTGTGCCAAATACTGCATTTTATTTAGAAGAAGCCTCCCTGAGTGCTCAGAGCTTATTTGAGCATTGACTGATCTTATCTAATGCCTGAGCAGCTGCATCAGGGAATGCCTCAATTTACTGAAGAGCATTTTGTTTAATAAAATGCATTTCCCTATTTGACATTTAAGAATCTCTTTACAGTGCCTAAATTTCAGATTTCAAAATTCAGCATGAGGCTATGACATTTTGGGACTAGAGTGACCCACATTGGGCCATTACCTCTGCACACACAATGTGTAGACTTTCTGTGGCTGACTTTTATAAAGGGGGGGGAGGGGGAGGAATAAAGAAATACCACATCCTTACAATGAACTGGGGTACATTTATATCCTATTTAAGAAAAATCTAACTTAAACTGTAGGTTGGCATTACTATTGTAATTTTTTTCTGAAGAAATGGAGGTTTGGAGATATTAAATAACTTCTCAAGGTCACTTAAGTAGGAACAAAGAAACGAGGGTTGCTTACTACATCTGCTAATGTCAAAGTGAGCAGAGTACACATAAGAAAACATGAAGGCCGAAACTGGTTTGACTCAGTGGATATAGCGTTGGCCTGTGGACTGAAGGGTCCCAGGTTCGATTCCAGTCAAGGGCATGTACCTTGGGTTGTGGGCACATCTCCAGTAGGGGGTGTGCAGGAGACTAGCTGATCAATGTTTCTCTCTCATCCATGTTTCTGACTCTCTGTCCCTCTCTTTTCCTCTCTGTAAAAAAAATCAATAAAATATATTTTTTTAAAAGAAAGAAAGAAAGAAAACATAAAGGCCAGGATTCTAGCCTTGTCAATGAGGTATTTTATTTCTCTGACAAGATCTCTCTCATTATTCCGGTGTAGACATGTTATCTACTTATATTAACAAGTTCTGTGAGAAAAGAAAATGGGATGATTTATATAAAACTAATATTTAAGAGCATATAGCTATCCTTGCTTGGCTTCTATGTGTATTACTGATCCTAAGTCTCCCACACAAGCCCAATGTCATAAAATTGTGTCTGAAATATATTGCATTAGAATTCATGGAGAGATGCTGCATTTCACATAACTTTTTTCAGTTACTGTAAAGTTAAGGAAGAACCTGGGAATATCAAATGGGTTTTTGTGTGTTTTTTTAATTTCCCATTTCTTATGCTGCCTGTTTTGAGGCAAATAACTTCCCTAAGGATATATGGATGACAACAAGTTCATAATGAGTAGCTTAGAGGATAGCATTTACAGTGTACATAGCCACATAAGGAAGCTTCTGCAAAGGATGGAGATGGAGATCACGCGGGGGATCATTTAATTTTAATAATTTGTTTTCATTTTCTGTGGAGTGATATTTTATGATGAGCACTTGTAACATCCTAGCTTATGCCTTAAACTGTCTTTAAATATAAAGTAGAAGCACATTCCATTTTATACTCTTTCTCCTTTCTAGCAAAACATTCTATGCCATCTTTATTCTTTTATGTTTAAACCAAAAATTTTCATATGAATGAGATCCAGGACTTTTTGACCCTGAAGTTTGCTGAGCTTGTTTTTTTTAACTGTTGTTATTACAACAGTTAAAAGTCTAGGGTTTCCCTAAGTCTCACTTTCACTTTAAGGTATGGAAATATCCTTTAGCATCTAATGTTTAATTAGTCAATAAGTTTAAATACATAATAGTAAATGTCTATACTCTTTTCTTTTTGTCCTTTCTCTCTTCCTTTGTTTTCATGGTTTCTATAGTTTACAATGTGGGATTCATCGCACCTTCTTTCTTTTTCTAAAGTGAGAATAAGTCAGATCTGTACTCTTTGTACCAAACGAATGTTGACTAATGATTGAGTTAATTTTGAATTTTATATAAGCAACAAATTATTTCAGTCTATAAGTATATTCCCTTCAAAGATTGTGTATTTATTCTAAAAATGATTTAAAGCTTACCTAAAATTAAAATTTAATTGAGTGGCCTATATTTTTCATTTCTAAGCCTGTGTCTTATTTATAGTCAGACACTTCCCAATCCGTGATATATATATATATATATATATATATATATATATATATATATATATCCTTTTACTTTTGAGTTTGTAGTGTGCCTGGATCAGATGGCTTTTATCCTCCTTCACTGATTTCCTTGTAAGACTATCATTATTGCTTATTAATTGGGGTCCCTTTGGCTCCTTCTGGGACAAAAATGAAAAAGATGAGAGTAATTTCCTCAGTATCTGGAGGCCTGAACTTACCTAATTATTTTTCAATTTATTCTCTTTTCAATTTAGCCCTGTAGGTGGTATGATTATACATTTATTTCCTCAAGAATTATTTTAAAATCATTAATAATGTTCTATATTGATACTTGGAATTGAAACTTCTATCATTTTATACCCTCCTTTGTAAGTTACACTTTTGGTAGCATTGTACTCTCCCTTCCATTGATATATTCTGTACAACTGACTACATGTGTCATTCTGTATCTGAAAAGCAATATGGCTACTGCTCTTTAGTTATAGTTCTGCTATCTCATCTTGGAAGTTTATAACATTTGAACTTTACTCCTGCATCCTTTTGGAAGTTATATTTTATTTTTTTAAATTCCAAAGGAGCCTCCCCTTGAGATATGCAAATGTATATCTTGGAATATTGTTTTAAATGCCGCCCCCCACCACAATCACAAAATTAAAGTTTTATCTACAATTTTCACTTTATTTTCAAAGACCCATCTGTAAGAATTTTTCACTCACAGAAATAAATATCTTACAAAATATCAAAAGAGCAAACTCCTTAAATAATTTTTTAATAGTTGCCCATATAACAGTATACACCCTACAGAGCCTCTTTTTTTTTGGGGGGGGGGGGGGAAAGCACACTGAAAGCAGTAAGAAGTAAAAAATGCCAATAGATTTTTAGCACATAAATGAAAAACTATAATCTTAGAAATCTACAACAGTAGACCCTTATTCATTTACCCTTAGAACCATAATATAATAAAACCATAGTTCAGTCTTTGAAAAAACTTTCCTCTCCTTTTGTGATTCAAGATCAAGGTCTGCATTGCTGTTTTATGTGAAGGAGTCATCTGTTGATTTTTGTATAGTTCCTTATAAAACCACTTACATTCAAGGCACCTAAACATTAGCTGTAATTTCCTAGTGGCAGCTTCTTCTTTGGTTATTAAAGCAATACATTTATATTGTTCTTCATAATAAGCAGAAGCAGCTTCATTTTGTAGGTTTAAAATTTTCATTTTTCAATGGCATTGTATTATTAAGCTAGTGTTGATGCCATTGATGGAGCAGCCATAGTATTCTTACAGCAAGATATATAAAGAATATTAGACTAAAAGAAGATAACCTTTATTCAGCAAGAATTTATATAAAACATTTATGTGAAACTACAAAAGAAAAAAAAGAGGTTTCTTTTTCATCATTTTCTTTTAAAAATGTGTTCTGCATTTAATTTCTGAAAAGGAAAACCATTCTATTTAACTCAGTTAAATTATGGAAAAGCTCTTGAGAACACGGAAAATCAAGTGGAGTCAATAAATGAAAGCTTCAATTGATAAATATGACCCCACAAAAAGTCAACTTGAATAAAGCAAATTCAGACAATTCATGGTCTTAGATGGAGCCTTGCTTCCAGAAAGGGCAAAGGAAGATGCCAGTTCTTTGCAGTTTGATGATCACTCTCATCAAAGGTGGGAGAAATGCTCAAGGCCCAATAAGTCCTAGCTATACCTTTAAATATTTAATAATATACTATACTGGAGCTCTTCCCATTTTCATCCATGCTCTGTATATTATTGAGACAAAAGGAAGTTAGATAGATAGAGTAGAACCAGGGGAGGAGGATGTGAGACTGGGAACCCAAGGAGGCACTCCAACTGGGTGGAGAAGGAAGGGCACGGAACACTGAGAGGCATGAATGTATGAATGTTGCTAAGACAGACAACTTGCAGATAACCAATCACAGGTAGTAAGGCAAGGCATATTGCTAAGGCAAAATTCTTTGAAAAGACCAATGCGGAGCTAGCATAGCTATCTACCCTGAAATTAAAGGGCATGCTTACGCTCAATGAATTCTGGTGGGGGAAGCACATTCCTGGGCACAGGTGGCTTAAGGCCATGTGAACCTCAACACATGGACTAATAGACTTGAATTAGTTTGGATGTTAAAATACTCCTGACTATAACATAGAAAGGAAGCTCTGGTCACTAGCCTGCTCTTGGAATCCCTCAACTTCATTGGATTTCACAAAACAAGGAACTCAGACTCAAACTCCACATTTTGGTTTCATTATGGACTTATTCTTCCTTCAAATTCCCTTACCTGGGAAATAAAAGAGGAGAAGATGGGTCTTTGTTCTTTGGCAAAGGGTAATAATTCTAACTCTGACTGAACTTTAAAAATAAGTAAGATCATCTTAAAAGTGGTCAATACTGGCACATTTAGCTTTGTCCCCCAGCCCTGTGCTACCTTGAATTCTTTTTCCAGTTTTTCTCTTAATTTCTGTATTCCTATTTCCTGTCGTCCCATGTGTGGAAGCATATTCGACCCATTACAATAGAACTTAAGAACAGTGCATCTTTCCACTTGCTTGTAGTACTGACACGGGATTCATGTTGCCCTTAGGCACCGAAGGAGCAGTATTTGGGCACTCAGTCGAGACACCTCACATCAGAGCAGAACCTTCCCAAGATCTCAGGTAAGTCCTGGCTCTTACACTTGTATCATTGTTTTCGCCACTGTTGATCATCCTCGATATAAAGAACTAAAACAGAAAATATCCTACATACTTGTATGAAGAATTGACATGTGCTGCTACATGGTAAATAGTCAAGTATTGGATGAAGGACAAGAAAATATGTCTTTTATTCGAAAAATAACCATCTGTATAGTGTTTCCAAATAAATATACAATGAATAATATATATATATATATATATATATATATATATATATATATACACACATATATATATATGTATGTATATTATGAGTTTGAAAAAGAAAGAAAATGCAGTTTTAGCATAGTTAGGAGGAGGACAAAGATTTTTCTTGCTGGAAAATCTGTGATAGACGATGAAATATACTATGGTGCATAGAATTAAAGAATAGGGAAGCAGAGATTAGGAGAAAGCTATTAAAGGTCAGGGAATGCTATATAAAGGAAACAACAAAAACAAATATGGATAATAATTAGGGAAGGGCAGAACATAATTGCCCTATGATGGACTCATCAATCTAATATTTTCAGTAGAATAAGCTGCTGTTTTTAAAAGGTACAGTTACATGTAAAAGCTCTCTCTACCAAAAAGATTGTGAGAAGACAGTATTATAGGAAATTCTCCCTGGGGTTAATCATGGCAACTGTTTATTAAAGTTAAAATGGTAAAAAACAGTAATGGATCCATGGATGCTCTCAATTTAATAAGTGAGTTAAGCTTTAGGAATAAAATATATTTTATGTAAGTTATTGTGGTGATCATTTTACACTGTCCTATCTAATAAAGAGGGACTATGCAAATTGTCCATCACATCATCACAAAGATGGCAGTGCCCACAGCCACAAGGTGGTGGTGCCCAGTCCCCTCTGCCCTGCTAGACTCCCCCAGTCCTTTCAGCCCTGCCAGGGGGTGGGAGGGAGGCAGGTGCACAGTGCGGCCAGACCTGCCCTCAGCCTCCCAGCTGCCTAAGGTGGGCCTGAGATGCAGGCAAGCCTCAGATAGTGGCTGTACGGCTGCCCAGGACTACCCAAGGCTCAGGTATCCAGGGCTGGCCACGGCTTTCACTGCTGGCAGTGGCAGCAGCAGAGGTGTGATGGGCCATTGCCTTCCCCTGATAACTAGTCACATCCCACCCCTGAGGGCTCCCGGACTGTGAGAGGAGGCAGGCTGGGCTGAGGGAACCCCTCCAATGCATGAATTTTCATGCATCAGGCCTCTAGTATACATATAATATATCATATTACACACCTTACACTAATACAATACTATGTGTTGTTTAAAAAAATAATTAATTTTGGATGAATAAATTACATTCTAAAATGCATTTGCTAAGGTATTTTTATAAAATATCAACATGAAATACTGCCATTTGGGACAATATAGATGGACCTTGAGAATATCATGTTAAGCAAAATAAGTAAGTCAGGAAAAGCTAAGAACCATATGATTTTACTGATACCCTATATAATAAAAGCATAATATGCTAAGTGTCTGGTCTACTGTTCAACAAATCAAAGCATGATATGTTAATGATATGCTAAAGCTGCTAAACCACTCACTATGTTGTGCACTGACCACCAGGGGGCAGACACTCCAACCAGTAGTAAGCTTGCTGCTGGAGTGCAGCCAATTGGAACTGAGCAAGACAGGTCGGACATGTCCTGGAGCCCTCCCACATCCCTCCCTGGTTGGCCAAGCTCGCACATCCCTCCTTGACCCCAATCATGCACTGGTGGGGTCCATCGGCCTGGCCTGTGCCCTCTCACCATACAGGACCCCTAGGGGGATGTTGGAGGGCAGGTTTCAGCCTGATTCTGCAGGCCAGAACGAGGGACCCCACTGGGTGCACAAATTTGTGCACCAGGCCTCTAGTGTGGGATATAAAACTGAAACTCATATCGATAGATATAGATTAATTTATGGTGGTTTTTAGAGGGAAGGTGGAGGGTTTAGAAAAGGTTAAAAGGGATCAAATATATGGTGAGGGAAGATGATTTGACTTTGGGTGGTGGGCAGACAATGTAATATACAGATCATGCATCATCATAGAAATGTACACTTGAAATCTATATGAACCTAGTAACCACTGTCAGCTCAACTAATTAATTTGAAAAGGACAACATTGATATTTCAAAAATAAATCAAATATTATAATCATATTTAAAGCTAAATCAAAGTATCTACCTAGGAGTCTTTGTCTTAAAAATGCTATGAAAATAGTAAGAAAAAATATTTATTTCATAAATATCAGTTTTAGTCCTTCCCATTTTGATGAGTGGGGAAAACTGCTCAAGTGGAAATAGAAAAATAAAGTAGAAAAATGTTAATGCCAAAATAGACATGCTTTTAAAAGTATAACAGTTGCAGACCTTATAGTTCTATGATAAAATTTCCTGAAGAACTGAGCTTCTCCCTAGTAGAGTAACCCAGGTGAGAAAAAAAAACAACAACAACTAATTAACAATAACAGAAGGTGCCTTCTTACTGTGATCAAGGTATCTATAATAATAAAAGCGTAATATGCAAATCGACCAAATGGTCAAACTGGAAAGTGTCCAGATGACCTTCCAAATGAAGTGGAGGCTGCAAGGGCCTAGGCAGCAGCCAAGGTGGCGAGGGTCTGCTCTAATAAGAATTTCACACATTAGGCCTCTGGTTTGTTTATAAGATGACCACAATAATTATTTACGCTAGGCCAAAACCCCAAGACTTTAGAAGGATTGAAGAATATGTGTAAATAGTGTCTCATAGTGTATTATAGTCTTGATTAATATGACTCTTTTCTCAGGAATTTAACATTTTTGTGTAATTATTAACGTTATCCCTCTCCACCTAACAAGATTGCTGGCTCCATTAGAACAGATCTGCACCCTCTTTGCTTTTTATCTTTAGTTCTGTAGCACCCAGCCCTGTATCTCATACATTATAGTGTCTGATAAGTATTTGTTCACTTGGATCACTGAAATTTAGCAAAACTGAATAATGAGGACTACTTAATGCACGCATATAAGGAATGTGTCAGCATTTGTTGTCTTATTGCTAAGGCACATTTAACAAACACTGATTTCAGTTGCTTTTGAACTGTTTTAAACCAAATATCAGAGTTTGATGATTCATTCAATAAAGAAATTTTAAAGTACTAAGTTCTAAAAGAAACATATTTTACTTCTAACATTTTAGGAATTGTGTACTCAGTTTATGCTTTGTGGTTAGGAAATGTATGTTGCCCAAAGAGGAATAAGAACCAACTGGTATTTTAATTACCTTGTTGGTGTGCCTCAAAATCCACAAGGGGAAAAGTGGATGAAATGATATTAGTATATAGTGTGCCTGGTTTTTAATTATTCGTCAGTGATTTAAAGATTGACTTAAGCTAGGCTTATCTGCTGCTTCAAAAGCAGATTGGCACCCCCCAAGATGAGTGATACTGATCTAAATTCCACAACTGAAACATAAATAAAGCAAAGTAGTGATGGGGTTATTCAATTATTTATGTGTGTACTGAAGATTAAAATTAGAGTGTCTGAGATCTTTACAAGTTTTGCTGACAATTTTCCTTTCAGGGCAATAGAAGCACTCCTAGTTGACACCTAATTTTAAGTAACAAGGTGGGATGGTTGGGCAGGTAATTAAAATGGTAATTTGGAGAGTAAGTAGACATATTGCCTTTGATTTTGCTTTTGTCAAAAATAAAAGGCTTTAGAAAGGAATATCCCAAAACATTTGTTATAGAGTATATGTAATATTTGGTATGGACATGTAGTAGATTTCTATAATTTATGTATTCAACAGATGTTTGATGTATGCTTAATATGTGCCAAATTCTGTGCTAAGTTTCCATGTTCATTTTAAACCTACACATGTTGGATTTTTTTTTTTTTTTATATCAGGTAAAGTTGTTTTTTAATAGAGCCTGCGTTTTAAAAGGCTAAAAAAATAAAAACTTGCTGAATGGTGAGTAAGGAGATAATGCCATATTTGTCTGGAATAACTCATGTATAAATGCTCTTCCTTTTACATTTCTAAGCTAATTTATAAGAAAAACATTACAGTTCAATGGGGTTTCTGCACTCTACAGTGAGAAGTGATGAAATCCATTATGTAATGCCCACTGCCCGAAGATTGTTTGAATCCAAGTTCCATTAACTGTTCCAAAAATAAGAAAAGAATCTTGACTTGGAATCAGTAAATGAGTTTAATATTTTATGATGTAATAGGCATCTTTTCATCCTTTTTATTCCTGCATGAATATAATTTAAAACTGAAATATTGAGGTTTTATATTACTCTCTGGAAACACATTGTTCTAATTTACATCATTTTTAAGTTCAAGGAAAAGCCACCGTTTATTAAGTAGATGAGTATTTTTCTCTGAGACTTTTTTGTCAATAAAGGGGTAAAATACTTTGCTGGTATTGTTATATTAATTAGAGAAGAAGAAAGAGTAGTATTTTTATCCTCTCCTCCCCATCCTTTCCTTCTTTTCTTCCCCCCATCTTTCTTGATTCTTTCCTTTTATTCATTCATTCATTCTATTCTTTCATTTGCATTTATATATTTATCTAGAGTTAGTAACAAATGAGCATTATGAGAAGCTTGTTTTAGTTTGCAAACATGGGGAAACAAAGATAACTGAGCTTGAGATAATGTGAAAGAGGAATCCATAATGGCATGTGCTAGTGAGCAGAAAACAAGAAAAAAGGAGAAAACAAAAAGAATGGGATTTGCACTCTTTCTAGCCAACCAGGAGGCAGAGCAGCCTCCCCAGCAGATGCAGAGACACAGATCTTCGTGAAGACCCTGACTGGCAAGCCCATCACCCTTGGGTTTGAGCCCAGTGACACCACCGAGAATGTCAAAGCTAAAATCCAAGGCAAGGAGGGCATCCTGCCTGACCAGCAGTATTTTATTTTTGCGGACAAATAGCTAGAGGATGGTCTCACTCTCTCAGACTACAGTATTCAGAAAGAGTCCACCCTGCATTTGGTGCTTCCTCTGAGGACTGACATCATCGAACCCTCCCTCCGCCAGCTCTGGCAAAAGTACCAGTGAGACAAGATGATCTGCCCCAAGTGTTACGCCAGCCTGCACTCGGGTGCTGTCAACTGCACAAGAAGAAGCACGGCCACACCAACCTGCACCCCAAAAAGAAGGTTAAATAAGGCCCCTCCACCAATTTCTTGGGTCCCCAGGGCAGCCTTCTACCTGAACCTTGCGACACTGAGGCCTCAAAAAGTTTCTCTTTTGTTGACTGGAGGGGGGGGAAGGGGAAAGAGGAGAAGAAAAAAAGAATGTGATTTGCATCTGAAGAAAGCTCATTGTAGCCTGAAATAATCAGACAGTAAAATTTCTTATATATTCAAGTCACAGCTAGCGTTAATTTTTTTTATTTTTTTATACATTTAATTTATATTTTCTATAGAGAGGAAGGGAGAGGGACAGAGAGCTAGAAACATCAATGAGAGAGAAACATCAACCAGCTGCCTCCTGCACACCCCCTACTGGGGTTGTGTCTGCAACCAAAGTACATGCCCTTGACCAGAATCGAACCTGGAAACTTTCGGTCTGCAGGCTGAAGCTCTATCCACTGAGCCAAACCGATTTTGGCATTTTTTTTTTAAATTCTTTTCTTAAAACAATTTTTTGTTCAATTCTCCATTCATGCCATCATCGAAACCTCAAATAATTCTTGAGTGCCTACTATTTCTTTGGCACTTTGTAAATATTTAGCAAAACCAAAATACATGATGCTTAAGTCCTACTTAAGTTTCTATTTAGTAATTGCATCCTGGGATTAACTTTAAAAGAATTCTGAATTCTTTTCTCAGAATGTAGAGATTTCACCTAAGAGCTAGGCCTTTCATTTTCAATCTGAGACCTGCACAACCTTCAAAGCAAAATCTTGTTGCATTTTTGCCATGTAAAAACCATGAAAAGCAGAATCTCTTGGAAAAACAGGTAGACTAGAGTTCAACAGTAATGCTTCTCTGCTATATAACCTTTGGGTACAGACTCTGAAAAATAGTCAGAAATTCATTGCTGTGAATTTAATACTTTCACAATGAACACTTTTATATTTTATAGTTTTTTCCTTTCAATGCATTAAGTGGAAAATTAGGTTATGAATTTTCTTCTAAGTTTCTGTTGAATTTTATAGTCTGTGATTTCTTTATTACTTTTTATATTTTGAATAGATGAAACAGGAAATCATTCCTGCAGAGTGTGTTAAGGATCCAATGTTATTTTCTTCAGTTTTGTTAGTCAGTTTATTAAGCATCACTTATTAACATTTATTAAACAACCTAGTATTTCCCAACACAAGATGATTGCACATTTATCAGATATTTCTCATACTTTCTACTTTAGATCGACTTATGTTCTAATGATCCAATTTCTATTTCTAGTTCCAATATCATTTTAATTAAAATAATTTTAAATTAAGTTCTAATTTAAAAAAAATCTTCCACTTTATTTTATTTTTAAAATCTGGTAATTATTACACATACTTTTCTCCCCCAATTATTAGCATCATGCTAATGGAAGTAAGACAGCCAGAGAAAGATAAATATCATATGATTGTAACTATTTTCTCTCTTTTCCTCATTCAGCATAGCTAGAGAGCAGGTCCAATTCCTGATTCGAGGCAGCTGGGGATTGAGAAATAAAAGAAAGAGACCAGACCCAGACACAGAGATAGAAAGAAAAGCTGGGACCCGGTGGACTGCTTCTGAAGGAGAGACAGTGACCCAGAGCCAATGCAGCGTCTTTATTTTATACCCCCAAATACCAGGAAGTTTCCCCAAAAGGTCAAGACAAAAGGAGATTATTTTCATTTTATGGAGGCCCTGAGCATTCCTAGTGGTAGGCTGGATTTAGATATCAAAACCCACCACCCCACACGGTGGGCTGAAATGAAGGTCAAGCTGACAGCACCCTTGCCTTTTTGGCAAGGCGTGTTCCCAGGGTGTGGCTTTGCTGAGGCCACTGTGTGCAGCTGACAATAATTAAAGAATGCCCATGTGCCTTCCCAGGGGGCCCTCTACATATGATCTCACGCATTTGTGGGATATAATGATCTCATTCATTTGTTAAATACAATGAACAACATAAACTGATGAACAAAAATAGAGCCAGAGGGGAAAAGTATTCTAGAATATAATAAAAGTAATCCTTTTATTTGCAGATTTTTAATATTTCCTACAACTTTTGTGATATCCTACTATGATAGTACAGTTTTGGTAATATTGTACTTAAAATCCTTTTACTCATGAAATATGAATGTTATTGCATGTAATATTATATGTAAGATCATTTTTCCTTGAATAATTGGTGCTTATTAGATGTAACATAATACTTAAAATCATTCTTCTGGAGATATTAAAAAAGAATAACATTTTATATTATAAATCATTAACAAATGGAAATATTGTAGCAGAGGTCACAGATACACTGTATAAGGTGATGTAAATTTGGAGGTGTATCTGGGAAAATTAATTAAAAATACACATTTTAACATTCAGATTTTGAAATTAAATAATGTGCCAAAATATAAGAATTATTAATAGAAAATGACAAGTGATTTTTTTTCCTTTTCAAGTTTACAACTATTCTGTAAAATGTGTGATTTTGTTAAAAAAAAAAAAAAAAAAAAAAAAAAAAAAAAAGACAACATACAGAAATTTCTTTAAATTACCTTATTCAGAACCTGATATCACTCCTCACTCCTGCCAGGGATTTTCTTTTTTTTTTTTAACCACAGGCTTTAATTGCTTTTTAGAAAGAGAGGAAGGGAGACTGATAGAGAGAGAGACACATCCGTGAGAGAGAAACATCATCGTCTATTGGCTGCCTCCTGCACACCCCCCACTGGGGATCCAGCCCACAACCAGGGCCTGTGCCCTGACCAGAATCAGACTTTGACCTCTTGGGTCCTGTGTGGATTCTCAATCACCAAGTCACACTGGCCGGGCTCTGCCAGGGATTTTATGAAGATGTTCAAGAGGTCCATGGGGATGAAAGTTTCAAAGTTGTTTTTTTAGTGGAAAAAAAGAAGGAAAGCCACTTGAACATGCCCTAATCACTTTATAAGTGCTGGCAAGAGTCCCTCAATATCACTTGCAACTTCACTACTTAGGAAGAGAGAGCTGATCAAACTGTTTAATGTGGTTCTCTCTACAGACAGCTCTGGATCTATGGCCTCACTCTAAACCAGCTGCTCAGAGTGATGGTGCATGTGAGCCTTGAGGGGACTCTTGACCTGAATTCCTATGGCCCAGGGCACACAGGCCACTGCAGCCCAGAGCAGAGCACTTATCCAAAGGCCAGTTCAGGGGGTCAGTGTCTTCTCATACTGCTGCTTTTTACAACTGTATCCTATTTTCTGTATTCTGCCTTCCTTTGGCTCTTTTCTCTAGTTTTATATTTGAAGATAATTTTGAAATTGCCTCCCAGCTACCTTTCTTCTGCAGACACAACAATCTTAAACACTTCTTCTCTCAAAATGTATGTAGTCAATCTTGAATGACTACAATCTCAAAATGCATGTAGTCAATCTTGTACTTGTATATCATCCCTTACTTAATTTTCCTTTCTTTAGATTAATGTCTTTTATTCTGTGGACATTTTCCTTGACCAGTACAAGGCAGTCGATGGAGGGAATGTCTTATTTCCTCATTTTGATTAATTTCTTTGAAGTGTAAAGAGTATTTTTAAAATGTTCAAGTTTACAAATGTTTACTGTGTGTGTTTGGCAGTTTACAATATTCATGATTTTCATTAAAGCTCTCTCATCTCCACAAAATAGGGACTCTTTATAGAGGGATATTTATATGCTCAGTTTGTAGAAATGTTTTTATTAAAACTCCATCATTAATATTGAAAAATGTATAAAAGATTTAAACAAGTAAATGTATAACCTACTTTTTTGTGAAGGGCAACAACATAAGAGACCAAGCAAATCAGTTTACAAGTGAGAGTAAATCATTGAAGCCAACAAATAATTTCATAAAAAGCCAAAAAATAAATAAGGCAATCAAAAATTATTATAAATGTCACTTGTTTTTTTAATGGCATATATTTTTATTTATTCCTACCCCCTTCTCTGTTTTTAGTTGACTAATGTTATCTTTTAGTCCATCATAATAATTTTTTTTATTTTTACTCTGAAGGATTCTTTTGTTTTTCCCTTAGGCTTGAGTCACCAACCAGATCCTTGATAATGGAGGCTCCTCGAGGGGTCCAGGTGCGAGCTGCTGCAGGAGACTTCAAAGCCACCTGCAGAAAGGAGCTGCACTTGCAGTCTACAGAAGGCGAGGTGAGTTCCCAGGGTAGCAGGTGGCGCTTTGCTGGTGAGAGTCCTTCTGCCCAAAGTATATGCATATGGTTCCTGCTGAGATATAGAAAGCTGCTTCATAAGATAGTGATAATGATGACCATATTAATACTTCTTGAATATGAAATTTGGTAAATGTAATGTTATTTTCTTAAGTCAAGGCTCTATTTATTTTATATTGAAAGATATTCATTCATATGCCAAGAAAGAATGGGGCATCTGAATTCTTATAGTTTCAAAATTGTCAGATACACATCATAAATGTCAAGATACTATCAAGAATAGATTAATATTTTTTAAAATTATATTTTGGTCTTAAAAACATTTTTGTAAAAAGAATCTTGAATGTTTGTTTCTGTGGAAATAATGCCTAGCCTAGCTGGCATGTCACTGTGGTTGAGCATGGACCTATGAACCAGGAAGTCATCAATTTCTGGTCAGGGCAGATGCCCAGGTTGCTGGCTGACCCCTGATTGGGGGTGAGCAGGAGGCTGTCGATCAATGATTCCCTCTCATCATTGATGTGTCTATCTCTCTCTTGTCCTCTCTTACATCAATGTAAAAATATATATTTTAAAAAATAGTACCTACTTTTTTTTTTAAAGGAAAACAAAATGAAAGTTTAATTTACTCTTTAACCATACTGTTATTTCCTGGGTAAGGAGATACTCTTTAATAGTTTTTTCTGTCCACTTTACCCCAAGAATCTCCTTTAAGTCTATTGTCTTTTCTTTAAAGACCATCTGCTTTTTTTCACTGTCTGCTCTAAAGAACCTTTTGTCTTAGGTCTTCCACTCTTGCACTCTAATGCAATAGTCACCATTTATTCCCTTTCCCTTACTTGCTCTAAACATTGTGATTGCTGTGTCTGTAGAGTCACATTTTGTCAATTCTGCAAGTTAATCAGCCGAATGTCTTCACATATTACTTCTCCTCATTTTCTCTGTGGACTTTTTCTGGAACTCTGAAGAAATGCTAAGACTTTTCACTGTTTTGTTCTAAGATCCCTTAGTCTCTCCTTCCTGCTTTCTATTTCTTTGTCTCCCTGTGCCTCACTCTGTTTATTTATTCAGGTCTACATGCCCGGGTTCCTCTTTAGTATCTTATCGCATACTTAATCCCTACATTGAGCTTTTAATTTTAGTAATTATGTCATTCAATTCTAGGATTCTCATCTGTTGTTCTTTCAAATCTGCATGGGCATTTTTGTAGTTTCTCTTTTGTTTGCCTGTTTGTTTTTAATTCTACCTTAATTCTTTCAAAGCCTTATATATAAAACATATTCTATTCTGTACATTTCTCCTGTGCCTCCCAAAGCCCTGGAAGGGCTAAAGCTGTTGTATTGTTGTTTATGCCAATCAATTCCCTTAATATTTTCTTCCTTTGTGTGCTTATTTACTTTGTATTATGAGTTTAGAAAGTTTAAATTGAGAAGAAAAAGAATGGAAGGCTAATTTAAGAGCTGTTCTGGAGCATTTTATACCTCTTCAGATGTAAAGATGAGAGCATAAATGAATAGACTCAAAGGGAGGCAATCTTTTTTTTTTACTTTTATGCCATTATCTCAGTTGTTGATTCAAGATACATTTTAATTATATATTTTGCTTCATTTTTATGAACAAAGTCATTGTCAGAACCACATTAGCATCTTGTTACTACTTATGTGTTCTAAAAATATGCTTTATGATATTTAAAAACATATTCATATTACCTTTTAGGGCTCTTCCACTACTATTACATACTACAATACTTTGTCGTCCACAGCAAGACAGAAATCTTTCTAAATATCTCACATTCTTTTTAAAAAGTTGCTTTTATCATGTTAATAGTTCATTCAAATTATTCATAAGAAATATTGGTGGTTATTAATCTTTGTTCTTTCCTTACTTACGCACCACTTTACTGATGTTCTTTTATTCAAAATATCAGCAGATTCCTCAAATCAATTACAGGTTGGTATTTGTAAAATGCTCTAAATAAATCATAGGCAGAGGTATTCAGTTGTAGTCATTTTTATACTAATAAAACAAAGATGTAGAAAGGTATAGCACTTTATATTAGAATAAATACCATGTAATTTTCCTACAAAGAAATGTGAAATGATATAAAAATCTTTCTCTTTGCTTCACTGACTATGCCACAGAAAGGCAGACTGATCATTTATTAAACAATATAAAATGATGTCAAATCTATCTTTAGATAGTTTTTGAACTAGTTAAAATCAGAATAGGCATAGCATTGAGGTTTCCAAAACAATTGACAAAATGTGTAAAAATGAAATTATACACAAAATCAGCACTGTAAAAGATGCAATTATTTCTCACAGTGTTACAAGGAATTTCAGATTCAGCTCTGAGGACACTGTGAGTCACAGCTGTAAGGACACTAGGCATGTTATAATATCGATAGTATATGCAAAGCAATTGGGGTATTTACATGTTACCAGATCACAGAGGAAGAAGAAAACAATTTTTATTTTGCAAACTGATTAAGGTTTTTCCTCCAAGATAGGTCTTATTTCAACAGGTAAGGGTGGGACAAATGAATTCTTAGTGGCGAGAACACAATGAATGGGCCATGAGTTAAAACCTCAGGGGTGTAATTTTGAGTACCAGAAGGAGTTTCCAAACAAATGGGTTCCATGGTTTATAGGACAATATAGAATAGAAATATCAATTTAAGAAGTTGGAAAGCGAACAGCAGACAGAAAGAGATACAAGCAAGCCCATGACCAAGCCCATCCATGCTGCAGGAGCCTGCAGAAGCTGAGAAATGTTGAGTTGAAAAAATCAATATATATTGTCCCTTTTAACTCTTGACTTATTTTCTATCTAAGCCAATAAAATATAATTTTTTTTCTTTAAGGCCCTATTCGTTTTAATTTATCTATGAATAAGATATACCTCCCTTATGGGGGTGAAGATAGAGTTTGGATCTCAGAAGTTTATGGAATTAAATATTGTCATAGAGCTAAATATTGTGGAGAACAGCCCCTAAATGGATAGGAGAGCTGGCGGGGAGTGCTATAAAGCTGAAGTGGGCCACAAACCATAAGGTTCAAGGCTAAGGCCACTGATGAGGTCTCTACCTCTGTTCTTGCTTCGAAGGCTGCCACCTGTGTACCCTTCATATATAAAAGCAGCTACTCTCTGCATTCATTCCCTCAGGCTGCACCAGTGGAAAGACAATTAGCTCCCAGCTGTGAAAGCCAATGTAGCAGCACAGAGTCAAAGGGCAATGCAAATCACCAGGGCTAACCAGTGACAAGTATGTCTGTGCTTATTCATAAGTGGACCATTCACAATATCTATAGTCATGTGATCGATCCCATATGACCTCCTTATCCACATGTTCTTTAGCTTCCCATGTTCCACTGTTTGTCACCTATGTCTCAAGTTTTCTTGGGCAAAACACCAGTCCTACCAGATCTTCTGAGATCTCAACTCCAAATATACAGACCCAAACCCCACCGTCCCAGAACGTGCCCCTATAATAACTTAAGAATGTCTGCATGTGTGCTAGCTCCTAAAGTAAATGTGAGGGAAGTGGGTTGAGCTCTGCAATCCCGGTTCTTCTCTCAGACTCAACCAGGAAGAGCAGTTTTGCCTCCTCCCCCGTGGAGAAATGCAGGAAAGAGCCCAGCTTGTGTAACAATGTGTTGCCATCATTCATGTCCCTCAAGGAGGAAACAAAAGCAAGAAGAAATGAAGCCCAGCATCTGCACCTAATAATGTATTGGCATTTTTTTGCTGGTTTATATTTCTAACATTTACATCAGTAAAAACAAATCTGGAAATAATTTAAAAGAGGCCTTTTTTCCCCCTCTCTACTTTCTTCTCACTTTACCTAGGAGTAAAGATGTTTTGTTTGTTTTTTTGTTTGTTTTTTAATTTGAATAATGTTGTTAAATACAGTCATTCATTTGTTTCATAATCCATTTAGTCAACAACTATATTATGTGGACATTGTAGGTACAGGATCAAACACGATGGAATTATAAAAATATTCAGATGTGGTCCTTCCTTCAAGGACAAAATTTAGTAGGGAATTTAAGATATAAATATGACTACAAAATAATATAATAAACTAGAGGCCCAGTGCTCAAAATTCATGCATGGGGGTTGTAGGAGTCCCTCAGCCTGGCCTGTGTTCTCTAAAATTCTGGGACTTCTCAGGGGGTATCAGGCCTAAATCAGCAGTTGGACATCCTTCTCACAATCCAGGATGTTACATGCACCAGTGATCATATTTTTCATACAGTGAAAGGCATCTTGCTGTTGTATGGGCAGCTGCATTTTTTGCCCTGGTTATAAAAAGTAGTGCATATAACATGATCCCTCTGAGGCAGTAGTACCATTTTCCCCATCTTATGGGTGGGAAAACTAAAGCAGAGAGAAGTTAAATAATTGGCTTTGTCACACAGTTATAAGTGTCCGAATCAGGGCTGACCACAGAATGTGCAAGCCAGAGTCCATGCATGTCATCCCTGCATCATCCTGTTTTTTTCAGCGTTAGAGTAGCCTTGCCAGGTTTTAATTTTTTAATCTAAGAGACACTTCCCAAAATATAGGGTAGGGTTTCTAGACCTGGCTGGCAATCAGGGCTGATCTGTGGGGCAACCAACGGGCAGAGTGATCTGGGGCCCCTGCTGGCACCTGCCTTGGCTGGTGGCCTGGCACCACCCACAGCTGGCCACGTCCCCTGATCTCCATAGACAGTTGCCTCCCTCTCAAGGGCAGCTGGACCAGTAAGTGTTGCTTGTTGTCAGGTCTTTCTCACCAGGCCGTGTTGCAAAGCTCTGAGCACTGGAGAATGCGACCCTGAATTAAAATGCAATTTCCTCCCCCATAGATATTTTTGAACGCGGACACCATTCGGCTGGGAAACCTGCCCACCGGTTCCTTCTCCTCATCCCCCAGCTCTTCCAGCACCCGGCAGACCGTGTACGAACTGTGCGTCTGCCCCAACGGCAAACTGTACCTGTCCCCGGCCGGCCTGGGCTCCACCTGCCAGTTCAGCAGCAGCGTCTGCCTGTGGAGCTGAAGGGACCGATGCCTCCTCCTCACACCAGAATAGCCTTTTGTTCCCGTCTGTCTGCTTCACGGTTCTGCTCGGTTTCCCTTGTGATCGGTCCAGAGCTGCTGCGAGTGGTCCACAGGCCAGCTGCCACCTGCTCCTGTGAGGGACTGCACCGCTCAGCACGGAGGGTGAGTGGCAGGACAGCTGAAACTCCCCAGCAGGAAACCTGGATCACACACCTTCGGCTCAAAGGGAGAATAACATAGGTGCCTTTGCTACATGAAGTGAAGCACACGGTTTTAGATTTTTTTTTTGCAGGACCTGGATACCCACGGCACATAGGACCGCTACACGGATGCAATGCCCAGTGTCCGATGGCAAGAGGGAACGGTTAACCCTGTGAGAAAACTAACGCTGCGGTCTGAAAGCACAATTTTCCATTCATCTTTTTAGATGTACATGCTCCCCTCTACCACCTCCCCCCCCCCAAGAATTTTAAAATGTTAAAGCATTATGTAATGGTTGCTTTACTAAAAACTAAAAATTCGATACATAGTTGTTGTTTTTTTAACAAAACAAGACAGAATCCCACCCTGAGTTTTGTTTCTTTCAATTCAATGTGTTGGTACTCTTTGTCTACTATGTCAAGGATTTTGTACATGAGCTCATTTTAAAAGCACTCAGCAATATATTTTACAGAATGAACCATAGGTCACCATGCTGCCACTTGTCAGGTCTCAATGTCCTTATGTAGTATTTACTTGGCTATTGCATGTGACATATTTACTTTTAGCAAAACATCTAATTTATTGCGATATAAGGTAGGATTAAGAGGGCCATACAGGTGGTGTGGGTCCACAGACTATTTGTCACATGGAGGTTCTAATGGTACAATTTTTGTTTGCACCATTCACTTTACACTTGACTCTGACTGATAAATTCAAACATCCTCTAAATAAATGAAACTAATGTGCTGCATAGTGCTGAGAATGGATTCACTTTCCACTGGAATATCATCTTCAGAGGTAGATCTATGTATTTTTTTTCCCACTGGAGATCAATATTTAAGGACAGTAGAAACTAAATTTAAAATCCCTGCTCAAATAGTAAAAGAAATACAAATGTTAACTAATGTTGAAAATGTGTTTGCATCATTAGATCCATATTTTAAGGAATTTGTTCTTTCGCCCTTAACGTTGACTTTTGTCAGACACTTACGCTGCCCTCCTACCAGAAATCATAGTTTCTTCCATTCTTCACTGCTTCTTTTTGTAAATTAGCCTCTGAAACACACTGGAACACTGTAGGTTCATTTATCGCAACACCCCGTAATTCAAATTTTTTGAACCTTACAGAATCCAAGAATGTCAAATTGTATTAAACATTTTGTATTATGGGGACAATGACTTGATTACTATAAGGTAAGTCCTTAATTTTCATATATCAACCAACCTTCCCAGGCTGTCCCATGAACATGGATCCAGGTGCATGGGAGCTTCATTCTGAGGAACCCTGACTGTAGACACTGGAGTTCAGGCCTCCACAGCACAGAGACAAGTGGGACAGTGAGACTTGTTGAGGTTATTGTGGTAGAGGAAGCAGGAAAACAGGTAATGTAAGCAACAGAGTGAATGATTTAGCCAGAATCATTTTCTTTGCATGATCCATCATATCAAATAACTGAGAGAGCTCCATTTCATTCAATACATTCTATACTCAGCAGAAGCAGTCTTATTACTTTTAAAAGAGAATTTAACTTGTGTTTGGGATTTCTTAAGTAAAGCTTTAAGTCAACATTGGAGGAAGGATTAAGATATGCTATTACTGCTATTGTTTAAAAGTCATATCAGAACATAAGACTTCAATTTATATAAGTTAAAATATTAGAATTCAACATGAGACATTCTCCTATGTTTTCTGCAATAAACTAATACAAAGTACAACACAAGAAATTTTGAGAAATTATGAATGCTAATTACTGTTACAGACTTTTTCAGAAAACACTACTTATTCATTTGAATCATATTTAAGTTGAAAACACCTTAAATTAAACAACTAGAAGGGTTCTTAATCAGAAGGTAACAGGTTTTCTTTTATTAGTAATTAGCTGTGTTTCAAATCTCAGCTCTGTCTTCTACTGAATTTTACCGATCATGAGCTGATTTAGGCATCTGGGGAAATCTCCAAGCTTCTGTTTACTCAACTTTGCAACAAAAGTATTGAATCACATGGTCTCTTGAGATTCCTTCCACCTCAAACATGTTCTGATTTCAAGAGCAAATATTACAGGAGGTAGAAGGGGCCACAGAAATGTTAGATTATGTCATAAGAGGAGAACAGATGAAAAGAGTGAGGAGATAAAACCCTGTAAAAAACCAATCTAGTGAGGGGCTATTAATGTTTGAATTCAAATATGTTCTAAAATGTTATAGAAATAATTAAAAAGAAATATATAAGCTAAGAGATTGAGATTTACATCATATGTCTAGATGATGTAAACATATCTGTTCAATGTAGTAGGAAAAAATGTTGATACAGATGGCTTTCCTCTCCAATACCAAATAATCGGTGACTGGCTGCTTTACATTCCTTAGTTTCTATGTATAGACTCAGGTGCAGAGTTCGAGCTTCTGTTGAAGACATGGAAGACTGCTCTTAAAAGTCCTTCACTTTCTTACAAAGATTTGATTCCTTCCTAATATAAAGCACTCCCTCCATTGCAGACCACCCAGGCAGATTCATTGTCTTTGTTTCCAGTACCATTTTTACATCACAACATATGGAAATAGAGTCAAGTTTATTTTGTTGCAAATTTAATCTTTTCTCAATCAAACTCAGAAAAACAATGATTAAATATAGTACATGAACCCTAAATTTTACATTTAGCTTAGCTATGGACAGCAGGAAGGGAGAGGGAAGAAGGCAGGCAGGTAAAATAGGAAGGAGAAGGGAAGGAAAGGGACTACTCTTGGCATTTACATCCTAAACTCAAGTAATTTAAAGGAAAAGAAGCAAGACGACAAACACTTTTCCCCCCCCAGAATATTTCAGTAAGATACTTCCAAAAAAAATACACTTTCAAATTTCATGTTTCTTTTGCTCTATATCACTAAGATGTCTATCCTATACTGCTTTATCCTGTTTTTGTTTGTTTGTTTTAGGTTATGAATCATAAGCTTTATAATCTGGTACAAAAGTATTTATCAAAGAATTTTTAAAAATGCTCCAAAATTTACATTAACCTGAAAATCTTAGAGTTGGTATCCCAAACCTTTGAAAATATAGCCACAAGTTCTAATTCTAGTTCTGCTCCCCTACTCATGTGACCTAAAGAAATATAATTAATTATCTTGGCCAGAGCTTACTTGTCTGTGAAAGGGGTATATCAAACTAGGAGGATTTTTTGTTGTTGTTATTTTCAACTCTAAATTTAATTGGTTCACTTGAGACTCAGTAATCTTGAATTCAGTAGCACAGTCTAAACTGGCATCATTCATCTCCTCTGTACCTTACTTAACATGTTGCTTATAAATGTTGAAATGCAAATCTTCCAGCATGCTGCTCCCTATTCCTTTGTTTTCTATGCTCTCTTTTTTGCTCTTACCATTGGAACATTAATGTATCTTTTAAAAAATAATGCTTTTTTGACAGGTTTCAGTAATTTGGCTGACCTTCAAAAGGAAAAGAATGTATTTGGATCTTATGAAAATGACTATTTAGGGAAATAATGGAAACATTTACCAAATGTTAATACCCTGTCGGTCATTCTATTATTATTTATTAAATCAAACCAAAAACCATTGTGTGTTTCTAAAGGTAATTTGATCAAAAAGGTCAATTGCTAAATTTTTTATAATATGCCATTCAAAATTCCTATGTAATTCTAACATCTGAATCATTTTGTAAAATTGGCATTTGATACAATAAAACTTTAATGAATTATGCCATAGCAAAAATGATATCTCTGAATGAGGCAGCAATAGGTAGAGGGCTTTTTTTGAGTGTTTAATGCATTTACGTGGCTAAATTTTATAGCAGGTCATGTCAACATCATAATACTAAACTGTTGTAGTTAATGCTATTTAATGGCCAAATTCTATATAGCCAGCAAAGCAAACGCACAGTTCAGTTGTATATTAGTGAGGTCTTGTCACCTTCTTTCAGTAGCTTTGGTCTAGTTAAAACTGCTCATGTGAGCCTTTTTAGAGATACTTATTTTCTATCCTCTTATACATTATAGTAATGAATATTGCAAAATATCATAAGTAAAATAACATTGTCCTTTTATTCTTTTAAAACAATCATAAACAAATAAATGTCCTCCCTGAACATTGTTATTCATATTGTTTAATATTGCAGTTCATTAGTTGTTTCAATCTCAAAGACCAAAGATTGAGATTTCTATTATATTGAACTCTAAAACACTGCTGCTTCTACTAATTTATTCAAATTAATAGCAGGGCTTATAATTAGAATGTGAGGTAGTAAACATTCTCCTTGCCAGATTCGGAGCTGTTGATGATAAATTAATGCTTTTGTTTTAGAAGGAAGTGTTTCTTAGTGTAGTCCACTTATCTTTTATACATGCGTAATAAAATCCTTGTTATCCACAAAACCAGTATGTAAAGACTATATCCCCACATGGGCCCAAGATGGATTTACTGAGCTGAGTTTACACTTTCCTTGCTTGCTAAAAATTCCTTGGAGAATATAATTAATTTGAAATACTTTCAGAACCACAGGGCTATTTTTTATGTTGATGGAAGAGATTCCAATCTTTGAGAAAGTCAATGAAAAACACTAAAGGAAATGAGGTATAATGAACCGTGATTCTTTTTGTTTTTGCGTTCTTAATATCTCATTTGTTTGAATATTTATAAATGAGAGCCAAACAGGGTTAACAATGTGCAAGGACATTCGCTAACAATGGAGATGTGTAATTTTGTGTTTCGGTGTCTCGTTTTATACGATTCTTTAAACCAGGTCCACTATTCATTTATTTTGTTTTGTAATTTTCATGTAAATGTTTTCTCGTGTACATATGACAAATGGAACTATTTTCTTACACACACTATGCAATATGTTTGTAAAATTGCAATATTACCAAAATTACAAAAGCTGTGCTTTTGTACTCGATCTTGCTTTATGTAAAAAATCTATCTTTTTCTATTTAAATGGACTATCAGTTCCATAAACTGTAGATAACATATCTATTCAAAAATCAGTCTATTGTATCTTTTGTTTAGTTCTGGGCAGAGTGGGCTCTATTTCTTTTGGGAGAAAATGCACAAAGTCTGAGAGTTGGAAACTTCTTTTCCTCAGAAAATGAGACCTTAGATGCATGCAATGAGCTCATATCATTTAAGATCTCTCCTGTAATTCTTGTATTTTTGTCCTAATTTTGGTGCTACTGTGTAACCATGATTAAATGTGATAGTCAACAAAGAGGATCAATACTCATATGCTATCATTTCATTTATTTTGTTGAGAAAAGTTCATAAAGAAGGGAAATGAGTATTTGTAGGGAACAGAGACCTTTTCAATGATGTGTTTTAAAATATCAATTTGATTAGGATACATACTTTAACAATTTTAATTTAATTTATAAATTTATACTTGATAAAGATGCTTCTCATGAAAATCTGAACATATGTTCCTCTTAAACATAGTATGATCAATGAATCTAAAGAATTGAAATCGATTTAAAAGTAACAGTGACTACACTTAACGAGATGATTAGCTAATAGTTTGTGACTTTTGGGGATAATACTAGGTAGATGCCATTTGCTCATTCACACCTCTCCACATAGATGTATATCATCACACATAAATACACATTCACATTCAACAGTGAATATAAACACATACTAATTGTAAATTTACTTGGATAATGTTGTATTTCTTCATTTCTTTGTTACATTCAAAATATCAAGAACCAGCACACCTTTACCTTTTAGAGAGAGAATTCCCAGTCCAATATGTTCCATGCTTTGAGAGTGACATTATTTCTCAGAGGTTCCAAAAGAGCAAAAGTATCCATTGGAAGATGTTGTGTGTGTTTTTATGTCATGATCATTGTTTTTTTTCTCTACAGCCCAAATATCTATATACTGTAGTCCAGATATTAGGGGGTGGAGGGAACAAAATCAGAATCATTTACACTCCTCACAAAAATCTTTCAAATTTAATTCTAAGAGGAAAATAAATGAGAGCATTATTTTGAGAAATCATATACAGGGTGTCCCCCCCAAAAAATGTATATACACTTCAACAGCTGATAGCTCAATTTTGAAAATTAAATATATTTTAAGAAAGACTGCCTTTATGATGAATCAAAGTATGTGTACACATTTTGGGGAACACCCTATATATTCTCCAGCAAAGTCTGGGATGGTTCTAATAAGCAACCAGACACATGCATGCTTATTTCCAGCAGATACTCAGACCATTTACCATCCATATAATGACTTCTTTTAGTAAACTTTTTTATCTTGTGAAGTGGGGTATTGGAGAGTGAAGGTTGGGGTGGATATGTCAGATAATTCCAATGTAACTTTATCTTCGTGTTTTCAGAACTTTGGCTTATCGCTGATAGAACAGAAAATAGCATTTCTGGGAACTCTAAATGTTGCTGTAGCTTCTTCTAATTATCAGGTAGAAGATTGCCCTCTTTGTGTCACATGACAAATTTTAAAGGGAAGTCACATTTTTCTAACATTTTTATCTCTCTCAATAAAGAATAATTCTTGCCATAAAAATAAGGTTTATAGTAATGAAAAAATCTTGCTTTCCAGTATTCACTAGTTATTTTAAAAGTCAAATGTATTCTGCTAGTAAAAAATTATTCTAACTCAAAAAGGGAATCACTTGAAATTACTGAAAGTATAAATTGTGACCCTGATTTCTTTACCAGTCAAAGTAATCCCATTGATACTAAAAAAAAGAAACACTATGCAATAAAGGAAAGATTTAATTGCACCTTACAAATATATACTAAACTTTTTATCAGAACCAGACAATCTACTCATTTTATTCCAGTAGTGGATATAAATTTTTAAAATAAAATGAATATATTCACTTTGTTCAAAAAGAATGTTTAGTATCTTATATTGTATATAGTTAAATATAAGATTAAATTGCATTGCAGATATGATTTTAGCTGATTTAATGTGTTTCTATGTACTAATCATTTATTTTTTTTAATATTTCACCTGTTTTCAGAAAGAATATTAATTTTTTACAGCATAGAGTAATCCTTAAAACAGAAAAAAGAAATTAAAGGAAGTTTTTTAGAAAAGAAAAAAGACCAAAAGTTTTGTCACTAAAGCAAAAACTAGTTAATATGTTGAATGTTAAGAAACATTTATGTTTTCTGAAAGCCAGATATTTAAAGGGAAGTGGCATAAGCTATTATTATTATAGGGAAAAATATATACTACTTCAGAATATATTTTTATGTTAAATCTAAATTATTTGTTGCTTAAATATTTATGGATCAGTAAAGAAAATACAGTGCCTTAAAGAATTATTTTATTTAAAAATGCTTTTTTTCTATTCACTTATTAATTATATAATATAAGATGTTGGAATTGCTTACTATGTTGCAATATATGAGAATTGCAATTGATCCATAATTATAAACCATTAAAATATACATAAATTAACTCAAATGTCTATAAACTTTGCCAGATGTTTAAAACATCAAACATAAATGGCATAGACCTAAAGCATTTGATATTTTGACAGATATTTTCCAAATATATAGTGCACTTAGTATATAAATTATACAGTTTATCTTATTATATAATACTTCTGTCTTTTATATAACTACTAGAGGCCCAGTTATGAAATTCATGCACTCGGAGGTGGTCCTTCAGCCTCGCCTGCACCCTGTTGCAGTTTTGGAGCCCTCGGGGATGTCCGAGTGATGGCTCAGGCCTGTTCCCTAGGGGCAGCGGGCCTAAGCCATCAGTCGGACAACCTTAGGCTGCAGCAGGAGAGGCTCCAACCGCCGCCACCAGGCTCCCTAGCAGCGAGCCTGGCTCTGCCTGAGTGATGCTCCCCTTGTGGGAGTGCACTGACCACAAGGGGGCAGCTCCTGCATTGAGCATCTTCCCTCTGGTGGTCAGTGCACAGCATAATGGGCAGTCATTTTTCGGTTTGGTCGATTTGCACATTAGCCTTTTAGTAAATAGTATCTATTGATGAATTCAGCAAGAAATGTTGAAGAGTAAACATTGGGAAAGTATTGTAGATGAAACATCTTGGCAAAATTCTCCACCATTGACATTTTAATAGCATGATGAACTCCGTGTTTTCCTTCTGTTTACAACTTGGTAGAAGATTCTGAATTCACTGGCCTCCAGAATGAAGAGCTTTGCAATATCATGAGGAAAGTTACCTATTGTTCTAAAAGTTAACTAAAGAATTATAAAGCCAAAGAAAGACCTAGCCAAAAATCTAGAAATATATAATATTATTTTAATTGGGTCAATCTCATTACCCAATTAGATATTATGGGCTATCATGAATTTATAACTGACAATGGCATTCCACTATGGTTTGAACGAGTGGCACATTATATGAAGACACTGTTTAAAGGAAGTCTGACAGTCCAGAAAAAATAAACTTTAGGTATAGTCTCAAAGAACAGCACTAATATAACAATGTAGATTCATTAAATAGTAATTGAAACTTCAAAGTAAAATATTAAAAGAATTAATATACATTTCCTTTTGCATCTCATTATTTGACCTCTTTAATTATTTTTACTGTGATCCATTATCCATCTTGAAGTAATAAAATTCCCATAAGTAAAATGGATTTGATTTTTTAAAAGGGGCATCAGCAAACTAGAAGTCAACAAATCGGATTCTAATTTCTGAGTTGCTTTGAATGTGAAAGGTTGAAACTTCATCTGTGATTGTACCTGGGTTTCACCTTGCAAGCCAACTCTAGCCAATTGAAAAGGCTACTAATATAAAACATTGTATTGAGTCTGATTCTAGAACTAAATCCATTCTCTCAGGAAGAGTGGCATGTCATCAACAATAGCAAAGGATCCGGAGTCCTTGAAATGCATGAGGTCCATGTTAGCAGTGATTTGACCTCAAGAGTTTTCAGCTCAGTACATATAGAGCAATGGACTGAAATGAGGAAATAAGGAATAGAGGTGCATTTAATAATTATGGCCCATTATATAATTAAAAAACACAGTGGGATTATCTGGGTGATATCTACTTTTCAAAGGTAGGAGCAAATGAACTAACATAAATGAATTATATATTATTTATTCTATACTGAATTAAGAATAATTAATTTATATTCTTTTTAATTATAAACTCAGCTATCTTGGATACATTTAATTAGTCCCTGTTTTATAGATCAGAAAGCTGTGTTTTGGAGAGGTTATAATAGGTTCCACATCAACCTATTATAATTTTTTATTAAAATTTAATGCATTCATTTGCTCATTTATTTAATAAATGGTAACAAGTATCTGTGTCTGTCAGCTACTGTTCTACTACTCTATCCACTGGTAAACAAACAGTGATCAGCTAAAGAGAGACAGAGAAGGCTGGGACTCTTGTAGAACTTCCGGGCTTGCTGGGGGATGCAGACCAGACCACTGACAATGTAGACATTAATAAGATAATGACATAATGTGAAAAGTTCTCTGAAGAAAATACGCAAGGAGATAGTGACAGGGTTTGTCTGCCTCACTATGATAAGCACTTTAAGAAGAGAATCTTACCATTTCAAGTCATGAAAATGATTACATTTTCTAGGTGGTGTGGTAGAATGTCAACCCAACCACTTGAATACCAGGAGTCAATCAGGAAAATATCCCTGGGAACAATGACTAGGAACATTATCTTGAGTTTCAATAATATAAACAATTGTGTACCTGAAGATATGTAAAGCAAGAATAAACAAACATTCATTGCAATTCAATCTACAGTTGCATTCTAAGTCATAAATTGAGATCACAATTTTAATCATAACCACATGTAAGGGTCCATGTTTGGCCTCAGACACACTCTCTTTTAATGCAGTCCTTTATTCCTATTGATTTTTCCTCCTGGGTGCATGTGGGAAATTATGTTGTTTTGGGTGTGAATAAGATGCATTACTCGGCATCTAAAAAAAAAAAATGTATTTCCTATGAATGAGTCCCTCCTAAAGATAAATCTCCAAATGGTATTTTAATAAGAAGTATAAGCCTTGATATTATGAAAAGCAAAAAGATTGTTAATTCATTGTGCAATCATATCCTATCAGGAAGCCATATTTACTCTGGATTTTTACCCTTACAAAATGCTTGTGACCTCAGTGTTGTTCATGTTATGTCCAATGATGTAAGTTGCTTTACCTCTTGATGTGTCTATTAGAGTAAGTTTGCTATAAAGTCAACCTAAGTATTATTACATGATGGATTTATAAAATCTAAAAAACAAAAAAGTAAAGCAGGTTATTTCTCTCTGGAATAAATTTGTTGTCAGTGTACTTACATTACTCTGAAATATTATATTTATAGTTTCAACATAAATTTGCTAGGTTGTCCTGGTTAGTTAAACTAGATTATTTCCATCAGGCAAATCTATAATGATTGACTAAAATTATCAATCTTAATATCTTGAATTGTTCTGAGGCATTTTAAAATCATTTATTACTGAACATACTAAATTATGAGACTATACCTTGGGCATGTGCCCCTAAGAAAAAGTAGAATCATATAAGTAGGGTAAGAGTTTGGATAAAGTATTCTTTTAAAATTGAGCATCCTAATATTTTCTTTTTGGAAGCCCTCAGAGTATAGTATGACAAATCTTCATGGTAAAACATATTGATTGGCCCTAAAGATGGTATAATATTTGCAAGTTCCAATATTCAATTTTACATGCATACAAAAAATTAGAGATTTTTGGCCAGAAAATTTTCCAACTCAGGAACTTTAGATTTTATGAATTTTTCACAGCCACCTCATTTCCTTGATTACATCTTGTTATAATGTTGCATCATTACCTTATCATAGCTATCATACAAAAATGCATGGAGATACCTATTGATAAAAACAATTAAAACAGAGAAACAATTGAATCAGACCTGTTTTCAATAGTAGCAACTTAGAGATAACCACCATTTGTGGTACAGGAACTATGGTTTTGCAAGATGGGTCAGTTCAGCTTAGAGCTATACTTACTGTCAATGGTGATTCTTAAAATAGATTCCAAGCCTCA